ATTGCGGATTCCAAGTATTATATTGATCATTGTAATTGATAACGGGATTTGACGGTGAAGGGCAAGAAGAATGATATAGAGATAGAGACGGGGTCGAGTTTGCATCGACATCCATAACTGAATCATCCAAGCTAACTTTGGTACGAGGATACTTCGAATCTCTATTTATTGATTGCATACTATTATTGAAACTTATAGCTGTCGAAGACATCAATGGCGATTTAAAGTAATTAACTTTGACTATCTCATCATCAGCTTGAATATTATTAAGTTCTAAAATTACTTGACAAATATTTGGTCTTTTAACTGGTTCAAGTTGCCAGCATTCTATTTAAGAAATAAATTAAGATTATATTATTATGTGATATTGATTTGAAAAGTAAAAGTTTAATAAATACTTACTTTCATAAAGCTCAACAAATTTGGAATTAGTATTTAGAATAGGTTTCTCTCTTTTACCATTAAAAATATCTATAAGAGTTATTTCTTCAGTATCGAAAGGTGGTGAACGACTTGTTAATTCCCAGAATAATACGCCTAAGCTATAGATATCATATTGTTTTCTTAATTTATTATTAATATTATAAAAATTAAGATTATTAAAAGTGATAGGATCCATATAAGGAGCTACACCAATCAAATTTTCAGTGTAGTGTACTGATTCTTCTAATCTACGTGAAATTCCAAAATCGGCCAGTTTAATTGTTTGTTGATGCACTAATATATTATTAGAATGCTAAAATATAAATTTATAATTAATATTAGTATAATTATGATAAATTATTATGTAAATTAAACTTACTAGATCCCGGTGTATAATTCCATTATCGTGCAAACACGAAATTGCATTGGCAATTTCCTTGGCAAATTTCAATTGATCCTTCCATTTAAAAGTGCTAGAATTTTTCTTTAAATATGTTCTCAATGTTCCACTATCTGCATATTCAAGTACAAGAGAATAACTCGTACTTTTAACAAATTTATCTGGAAGCAGAGCAGAAAATAAATGATATTAATACAAAAACGTTACGAATCATTTGATTGACGAAATTACGTTTAAATGGTACCGGATATATCAGAAGAATGTCTTGTGATTCCCCAAAATTTAATAATGTTAGGGTGAGAATTAACTTTTTTCATTAAATCAATCTAAATAAATTAATAATTTATGTGTAATTTTAAGAAAATTAATTATTAAAAGTCAATGTTAAACGTTTTTATAGCATACCTCGTTAGTAATTTCTTTCATACTTAAAATTTTGTTAAATTTTTTAATTGCAAATACTGTATTTTTCCAATTTACAGTAAAAACTGAAGCGGCTGCTCCAGAACCAACTTCAGATTCATTCTTAAAATCCATATGATTATATAAAGTAATTTCTTTAGCGTCAATGCATTTTTCAAACCATTCAGATAATAATTTAACCTCTAGAATAAAAAATTTATATTTTTATTAAATAAAAATTTAAATAAATTATGATTTATGATAAGTTTTATACCTGAATCTTCTATTATTATTTTGAAAATCCAATATAAAATATTAGTATAATTAAATAAAGTATTTAATATATAACATTTTTAAATATAACAAATAACTTACTTATAATTTAATTAAGTATTGAATACCAAACAACGATACGTTTTTACGTTCCAGTAAAATCAAGGCACGTGATATAATAAATCATATGAACGTAATGTGAAAAATGAGATCTTAAATTAAAAGATAAAGTTACCTTTAACGCCATCGTCATTATAATTATCTAATAAAAAAGATTCTAGTTGTAGAATATTTTAAAAGTTTAAAATTTGTCATCATTTGCTATATTTCTTTACCTGCGTTACTAAATGCCGATTTTACCGTTTCTCCACAATCTTTATATTCTGCAAGACCTATAATACAATTATACCAAACTTTAAATTGCTTGTATAAATTCTTTGCTGTAGGCCTTTGGTCTGGATTAGCATTTATACATTGATTAACAAAATCCTTATAAATTTTGGGAGTTCCTTTTCCAAATTCTGGTCTAAATTTGTTTTCAAATAGACATTTTCGAGTCGAAAATCCAATCATATCCATACCAAAGCTATAGATATCAGAAGCTAAAGAGTATGATTCTCCCCTTATAATTTCAGGGGCAATATATTGCAACAATTCCAATTCTTTATTATTTGGTGCAATCGGATGTTTAATTGGTTGAGTTAATTTAAAATTCGCAATATAAATATTTGAATTATCATCAAGCATTATATTTCCACAATGGAAATTATTATGACTGTAGCCTAACGTATGTAAGTTCCTGAGTTTTTTAGAAGTATCACGTAATATTTCAATTTTTTGTTTCCATAATAAATTTTTATCATTTTCAAATAAAGTCCGCAAAGATTTTTGATTTCCATAGTGAGTGACCATTATAAATTCTTGAGTTTCCGGATGTTTAGACATTCCATAAAACTTTGATGAAATAGCAAACTCTATGTTAAAGAATTCCCAATGGTTTTTAATCTATTAATATTAAATAAAATTCATATCAATTAATAAAGAGTCTATAACGAATTACTCGAACCCGCAGCAAACAGTTAAAATGATGCAACTCGCTAAACTATAATTTGAACGACCTAAATTAGAAATCAAAATAGAAGCTATACCTCATTTAAACAATCAGCTGATAAATTAAATTGTTTCAAGAAAACTTTTACAGGTTGTGGTTCATTTTTCAAACTTCCATTCTGCTCAAGGTAATTATCTCTACCATCCAACCATAACGCCAAATAAACTTTATCAAAGCCATCTTCATATAATTCTATGTTAGTAAATCTATCAAATGATATCCATTCAAGCCATCTTCCTCCATTCCTTGCTTTATACATAGTATTTTTGATAAATGTGTCAATACGAACATCTCCACTGGTCCATCCTTCGCTTATTCGATATGGAGAATCGCATTTTTTACATTGTTTTTCAATAAGTTCTTCGTCGCAATAGGAACATATTCTATTTTTTATTATTTGCATTTTATTTTCGTCATTATCAAAATTTTCAGCATATGCATTATTACTTTCTGTATCTGTAACAATATTACGTTCTAAAATTACTTGAATAATATTTTGTCTTTCATCTAGTAATTTTTCCAAACAAAAAAAAAATATGAATTAATATATTTTGTTAATTATCTTATAAATATATAAATTTGAATTTACCTTTCAAGTCAAGTTGTTCTTTTACATTTTTCTTATTAAAATTTCTTTCGTCCAATGTATATCCGATTAGGTTTAAGCAACAATTATTTCCACCAATATCAAGGTTCAAAGTTTTATAATCTGATGATAAAATACAAATTTGGACATCAATCTTTGTCAAGGAATCCATACAATCGGCGTCATCCAAACTCGAATGATTAAGATTTGTATTAGTACATATTTGAAAATAAATATAATTCTTTGACCATTTATCCAGCTTTATATTTATAGGCTCATAATATTTTGTTGATAAATAAGCATTGACAAAAACAGTATATCCTCGAGATAATTGGTTAGAAGTTTCAACTGAATAGTAATAAAGATCGGGTTGTAATGTAATAGATTTTGTAAAATAAACCAACTGTAATTCTCGATTCTTTGGACTAAATACTGATAATTTCGAAGGTTTTCCAATAATCATCCATAAAATAGAACATTCTGTAATTTTAATATTTTGATCTTTTAAAGTTTTTATCATCACAGAGAATCCATTAAAGTCACATAATCCAAATGAAACAAAAATTTCCGATTTTAAACCATTATTAAACATAATTGATCCAAAAACTTGATAATTTTCATCTTCCAACGATGGTTCTATATTGATTCGTTTATAATGCTCAGTATTATTAATATTTAAATCTTTCAAATCCACAATCCCTGTCATTATAATTTTAAAATTATCTTGCTCATTTAATATAACATCTATTTTATTCCGTTGAACTTCTCCGAGGATTTTATATAAAGAAATTATTTTATCATACTCAATAATTTCTAAATAATTATTTGTATTTTGAATCCAATTAGATAATTCATCTTTTTTAATAACATTACCTTTTTGTGTCAAAAGATATGAAAATTTAATTTTATCTAAATGTGATTTTAAGGATCCAAATTCTAGTGATCCTAAATCAACTTGTTCGGAAAGTTCGGGAGAGGCGGTGTTTGGTAAAATATTTTTAAGAGATTTTCCCAATACAATATTTAACGGAATAAAGTGCCCATACTCGTCAAATACATCTTTCAAACATGCAAATGGCTTCATATCATCAAGCGCGGTTTCTATAGCTTGTTTAAATTCTTCTGAAGGTTTAATGTCATTCTCATTCAATAAAATTCTATATTTTTCACATTTGACCAGAAGATGTGTATAACCTAAATAACTTAAATCATCAGATTCAATACAACTTTTCATAAACGGAAAAGATCCTAAATTATTAGCCGAATAAATATTATTGGATATTAAAAATTCTTCTAAATTGGTTTTTGGTTTGATCACTTTCAAATCCGAATAAGCATTACCACTTGCATATACAAAAGGAAACTTGATGAGATTAATGGCTTTTCTCTTTCTAATTTCTAATTCAAAATGTTTATTAATTGATAGGCCTTGAAGAATATGAAAATCTTTAACCCATTTTGTCAACTTGATATACATAGAGTCTTCAATCCACTCTTCCAAGCTTAATTTCTCTTTAAAATTAGCAATTTCAGGTTGCTTGTCAACTAAAGTATCTTCCAATGATTTATTGGATCTTAAATCAGAAATTGGAATGAGACTATTGTAAGAAATTATATCAACCACATTCTTTTGATATAAATCATCCATCCAAACGGCTAATTTGTCAAGAGTATTTAACTCTTTCCCATCTGATGTCCTTATTTTCGGAAAAAAATCTATAGTAATAAATGAATTTTCTTTATTGTATTTAGCTGAATCATATGCCCAAGTTAAATGAGATTTATAAGCATCAATTTGTGTTGAATCTGACTTAAAATCATCGATAAATAATTTACCACCAACCAAAACTTTTCTTGAAAACAGATGACCATACATCTCATGTAACTTTTCATCATCATCATACATAAAGCTCAAAAAAGACTTCAATGATTCGGCGTTATATGTAATTTCTGCAACCGGAAAAAGTATACATATATCTGATGGCTTTAAATCTTTGTTAATATTAATATTGTCAGGATAAATAGCCAATAAATTTGTGCGAGACTTGTGATCATTGATAAATGTATATACTAAAGGTTGTCCATTATACAAACTTATATCCAATTCACCATCATCTGATACTACAGCATGTTTACTATGTTTCATGCTATATCCGTCCAAGAATAAGCCATGATTTAACTTAAATTGTTGAATAGTTTGTTGCTTAGGTGATAAATCTAAATCCATTTGATTATTTGCATTTAGTGATGATATCATTGATTTTAAGTTTGTGACGACTTCTTGAATAGTTGGTCTCATATCTTGATCTTCATCCCAACATTCTAATAAAAAAAAAAGATTTAAATATGAATTTGCATTATTGTTAATAATTTTAATTTATCAAAAAATAAAATAATTGCTTACTTGTGTAAAGATTAGAATATTCTTTGGGTGTACCCTCCACTATGCATTCTCTTGATCCACATGCAATCTCCATAACCAGAAATAAATCATATTCTTTTTTAGCAAAGGGTTTTATCCCACTAGATAATTCCCAAAATAATATACCAACGCTATAAATATCACTTTTTTCATTCAACGTATTCTTTCCAATTTGCCTTCCATCACTTGGTGAATTTTCGAGTGGCTTTTCTATTTTTCTTTTCTTTCTTTTAAGATTAAATACTTCCGGATCAATATATGGAACTGTATCAAATGAATTTAATGAAGTATTTTCATATGATTCCACGTCACCTTTAATACGCACACTTAATCCAAAATCGGCCAATTTAATTGAACTTTGATGCACAAGCACATTGTTTGGATGCAAATCTTTATGTATGATTCCTTTTCCATGCAAGCATTCTATTGCACTTGATATTTGAAGGGCTAAACCATACTTGTCTTGCCAGTTCAATGAATGAAAGTTTTTTTTCAAATAATTACGAAGTGTACCTCCATCTGCATATTCTAAAACCAAAAAATAATTTTTATCTACAAAAAAAAAATTATTTGAATTTTTTTTATAGTATATATTATAGCGTGTAAACCTTTTAAAAATATTTACCCGAATCAATTTTAGTTATTCCAAAAAATTTTATAATATTTTCATTATGAATATTCCAATGTAAATTTATCTATTAAAAAAAAAAAAATAAATAAAAAAAAGAACTTTTTACTTAGTATTTTAATATTTTTTTTTTTTTTAAAAAAAAATCTTAACAACTGCACATACCTCGCAGATAATCTCTTTGACAGTATCTTTATCTAAATTAAACGATTTCAACGCAAAACATTTTTCACTTTTCCAATTTGCTCTATACACTTTCCCAACTAACCCACTACCTATTTCTTCAATATTACTAAATTCATTATATTCATAATAATTTATACGTCTTTTCTCTATACTTCTTTCGATCCAATCAATTGAAGACATTTAAAATACAATAATTCAAGTAAGTAAAAAGAAATTGAGTGAAATTTTTATAAATTGTCACTCGATAACATAATATCGTGAGTGATATGCAGGTAACACAATATCGGAGTCAAAACTCCGTATGCAGACTCCTGATATAATATAGTAACACAATATCGCCGATCAACACATAAATAACTGCCATGTTGACAAAATTTTCATACTTCGTTCTTTAACAAAATGTTTGACATTTCAAATATTTTCCCTAATAATGTAGATGTAGCGGTAATTGTAAAAAACATGGAAGAGCGTCCAAAGTACGTCAAATTAAATCTTAAAGATAATTTATCAAAGATTCGTCAAGATTTGAAAAAAAATGATATTATTAATAGTACATTATCATTTTCAAAGTATCTTGAAATTAACGATGAATGTGCGGAAATTTTAGATGAAGAAAATTATCTCTTAAGTCAGATTATATATAATAATAATAATAATGGGAGGATTTTATATTTAGTTAGAAGTTCAAAAATTGACTGGAAATTTTTTAACGAATATCATAAATTGGATTTTGGATGTACCATGGGAATTGACGGAATTATAAGAGCGAATTTAAAAGCATTCATCATTCAAAATTGTGATTCGAGTAAATTTGGTGTTGAAGGATATCGAAGAAGGAAAGTTAAAATAAAAACAAAAGAAGATTGGATGATGAATACAAATTTAATCTTTGATATTGCTGTGAAAAATTTTTTAAATTTAGAAATATCAAGAGAAACATCGAGAGATGATACGTTAAACTTTGAAAGTAGTAGTGAATTTGTAACTTTTGGTAAATTTTCTTTGAAACTTAAAGATTTAGAACCAACCTTGGAATTTCTTAATGCAGTGAAAGAAGCAATAAAATCTAAAGACCCTAACAGTTTTAGACAAATTACTAGGGATTTCGGTCTGTTTATCCCTACCGAAATTATTTTAGGCGGAAGAGTAAATTATGATGATGTAAAGTTATCAGAAGGTAATTTTGTAAGAAGTTCTAAAGGGGGCGCTATTAAAGTAGATAAAGTAGATCAAGCTCTTCATGGCAAAGTAGCCAAAGTTTCCAGTAGTTCGAGAGAAAAGTCAAATTATTATAGCTCCGATCGTGTTAAATTAATTGGTGGGGAACAACCCAAAAACCTAAACGAATTTGATGAGAAAGCTTGGGTTGAATCTTTAAATGATTCTAACAATTGTTATCCTATAGAATTTCGAGAATCAATTAGTATCTTTCAAATTTTGCCTGATTACTTACGCAGACAGGTCATTGAATCTATTGGAAAAAGGATACATTATACAAAGTTTGAAGAGATCAAGTATACCTTAAAGGAACGTGGTAGTGCAAAAATCTTTCCATTGGAAATGTCACCAAAGATCTCGAAAATGTTGAAAAACAAAGATGCAGATTGTAACATTTTTGCAACCGTTATTGATGTAATGGGATCAAAAAATGATTTTTTTACATGCCAAATTCTTTGTCCGCCAGGAGGAAAACCAGACCTCATAATTCATTGCATTCAAGATACACCTCAATTACGTATATGCGAATTGAAAGTTGGATGGATGGTAATTGGATATTATACAGATTTCAATTCTATACTTTCAGATTTTAAAACTCAATTAAATGTTCTGAAAAGTGATTTCACTTTTGTTAAGAATGGTCCTGCGATTAATACAGAATCATTAAGTTTTGAGTATGACCCAATCATTAGAGAAATCCCTCCTTGCTTAGGAATTCCAGTGTTGAGTAAATTAGATTCCTCAAATAGATCCATCGTTATAGGACATCATTTTTTCAATCCTCAAGAAAATAAAATTGGAAAGTGCACATATTCTTACTGTTCAAAAAGTAATCAATGTACAACGCTACCCGATTTTACTTTTTATACGCTTATTATTTCAAATTATATTATTCCCGATGATTTTGGCTCCATTTCTTGTCAAACATCACGTTCTATTATGTCGTTTAGGAGACATTACACTGTTCTCAATAATGATATCAAAGAAGAAAATACTCGTTTAAATTATATTAGCATATATTCTACAAAAGTAGCTAAATACGGAGCTATTTTTATAAAGCGGATTGACAATCAAGTTAAAGTCAAATTTGTTCCTTGTAAATGTGGAACCACTTGTATAAATAATTCAGAATTATTAGAAAAAGATATTGATTTTAAATATTTTAACCCCCCAAATATCAGGTATTGGTTTTTATTATCCGATCTTTATTTGCTTTTTTTTTGTTATATTGATAATTTCTTTTTATTTTTTAGGGACAATGATTCCAATTTGTAATAAAAATTCAGACTAGATTAGATAAATTCTTAAGATATTCTTCACTACTCTAAATTATATATACTTTACAAAAATCTATCGATTTTGAAATATATGATAAAAATATTACTAAAAGATAGCAATTATTTATTCAACATATGGTCAAAAAATTTTAACGTAGGTGATATGTTTGTAAGATGTTTTATATATAAATAAAACATATTTGTAATATTATTCCACATTTCGAAAATTAAGTTGAAATTTGTATTAAATATTAACTTGATGGAACAAAGAATTATTACGCATATTAAATAAAATAATTAACAAATGTATTTGCAATCTTTTAAATATACTACTATAATATTTTGCAAATATCAGCATATGTAAATTGGTGCAGTGTTTGTCATGCAAAGACCAATAGAACAAATTACCATATGGTCTATTGGTCTAATAGACTATTAAATGACTCGGGTCTATTACATAATCACGTGATTATAAATAATTGGCAAATATTATTAAATAATGATAAATATTTTTTATCTTCAAAAAAAAAAAGCCATATAATATCGCGTTAGTAATTTAAATTAATTTGAACATTAGACAACAGATACTGTATAGAGATTAAAATGATATTTTAACTTATATTATTTGCGTAAAATAATTTAATTTTAATCAAAAAAAAAAAAATTAAAATTACTAGAAAAAAAATTTAATTATAGTTACTCAATTCATTCTGGGGCCTTGCAAAAATATCAGCATCCTCACCTTGATGTCGGTGCAGCATCGTACTGTCAGTAATAAAATTTAAATTTGTGAAAATCTCAACAGTAACTACCTTTTTTTTACTTCATTAATGATTTCTGAAATCCATACTATAGATTTAATCTCGGAGGTATTCACTTATTGAATTTTGCTAAAATCAAAATTCTCCATATGATTTATGTGTCAGAGTGTTATAGTTAAGCGAAAATTTTTGTAGGTAATTAATTTCGGAAATCTGAAAGACTATTGGAGTATCGTGTAAAATTTTTTGAAATAATATAAAGCAGGGACTCGCATTATATGGCCTTGACAGTATTTCGCTTTCTATCTAACATTTGTTTCATTTATCTGAAAAATTAATAAAGATTTATTCGCTTTCATTCTTTTTCACTAAGTTAATGAAAGATTATTGTAGCGTAAATAATTATTTGCAGAGTAAACTACTTTCAAGCCTTTTTTCCGATTTTCTACCCTCTCCCTCACTACATCCGCTTATCATTATCCTCTTGATTCCTTTTCATAGTATTTTTTAAAAATTTAGTAATTTCCATAAAAAATAGTCGATTCTGATGAGTTGTTAGTGATTTGATGTACTGTACAGGGCCAAATTCATCACATTTTTAATTATCTATCTCCTCTTGAAACATTTTCTATTTGGATGAATTGTACTAAGCAGTGATGGTCAGTGACCCAAATGACCTCAAATGACTCAAATGACTAGTCACGTGTCATTTGGGTCATTTTGGCACCAAATGACAAATGACACGGTCATTTCCTGAACCAATCATTTTTTCACATTTTATGTA